CCTTAAATACAGAACAAAGGAAAATATGAATTGCATATCGTGTACTTTAGCTGACGTGAACCACCTTTCAGATATTTTTAATTACATTTCATTGCAGATCTCTTAAAAATTACCATGCAAATTTTTCAGTTTTAATGGATGATCTATAATTCGGGTGGAGAACCAAAATATAATAAGGATTTTTTTATTTAGACTTAAGGAATCATTTTGTGGAAAATTGGCAACTAAATTCCAATACTTACTTTCCTCTGAGGTTAAAAACATGTAGTTTCTTAATTTCTGTTAAATGGATGCTTTTAGAAGTGCTGTTACAAGTGACTAAGTAGACAGCATAGAGTAACTTTTGCCTGGCAGCTTAGCAAAAAACCAGTTACTGCAAACTAGGTATATAGCAGCTTTACTTAACTGTGTTTATAAGTAAGAGCTGTTTTTCTAGAAGTTGCAGATTGATCCGTTGTACAGGTCTAAATCTGAACTGATGTTTCTCAGAATAGTGTTTATCATCATGTGATGGGTATAACCTGGCACTTTCCAGTTCCCCTTTTCAGCGCGAGGGTTTTGCAGTCACTTCCTGTTCTGTGTAGCAGTTTATGACTTTCTGTAGTTAGGAAACAATATGACTATCCCTCATTATTGTGAAAGCTGGCTTACCCTCAACGTCGAAGCCAATGTTAGTAGTACTAACTACTGACATTGTAGTTAGTACTACAATGTAGTACTAACTGATCTTGTTAGATCAGTTACAAGCTGATCTTGTATCAGCTATAACCATTGTTCTAATTATAGATGAATCTGGTTTGGGGTTAATGGTGATTAGAGGTGCTAGTTTTAACCCACAGTGTAATTTCTCTCTCAATTGCTATCATAGTCATTAGATCTATCAGTGCATAACCTGCCAAAAATCTTCTAGCTTTGCTAAAACCATTGTTGTTACAGTAGCATCGCCAGAGGCAGGACGCTATTGGAAACTGTTGGTGTAAAGACGAGTTTAGAGTGATTTTCAACCTTTACTTATTTATTTGTAGAACTTAGATTTTCGAGCCTTTGGGGAAGGATGGGGGACCATGTATAAAGAATTGAAGGTCCCTAACTGCAAGTTACTTTTTTGTTGTTGTTGCTGCTGAACTTCTTAGGAGACTGTGGACGTCCAAGACTCTGCAGATAACAGTTTGAAAACTGAAGTTGTGGCATTCACATGGGCAGTACTAATTTGTTTCTGTTTCCGACAGAAACAGAATAGATATGACACTAGTGAGAGGAAGCAGACTTTAAATGTGGACTGGCCAAATTTTAGTGTAAAAATTTGAAATTATGTAGCAACTGAGTAGTACTGTATAGCTCTGTTATGGAGCTCTCTCCAGATGCTCTGAAAGAATAACTGGTGTCTGTAGTGATGGATTAGAAGGTCAGAATTCTGTAAGAGTAAATTTGACTGCAGGAAACTGTTAGCGTTGCTGTTTCTTTTGTAGGCTAAAGATGAGGGCAAGCTTCTACATTTCCATCCTTGCTCTGTTGTGTGACTGCTCACATAGTTTGCTGGGATAAGTTTAGGGGGTTTTGTTACATTTGTCACTTGTGACTGTCAGTCGATTGCAGGAACGAGTGAAAACTGCTAATGTCAGTAACTTTTAAATAATCTTCTTTTTCCTTTTATGTGAGTCAAATAGGAGGTCATAGCTTTGGACCTGTCATGATGTGAAGAGGGAGAGAGGGAAGATTATGACATACTAGAACTGTGAAATGTTGGGGTTTAGGAAATACTTGAGTTCGTTAGCAGATGATGCCAGAAATCAGATGTCACAGTGGAATGGTAGGCACCAGATAGGCACTGGCTGTGGCAAAAATAAGAAATCCTGTGGATAACTCTTTCTTTGAAACGGACCTAGCTGTAGACAACTAGCAAATTTCTTTGTGACAAAGCAAAGCATCTAAACACAGGAACTATGGAGAAGCAATGATGCTTGTATAGATTCTTGGCTCTTTACATAAAAATCAGGAGAATCTAATAGAATCTTAATATTTGAGCTGTGTAATATTTTTGGTTTCAAGCTGTACAAACTGCTTTGGTTAGTACTTGGATCATCTCCTAAGAAAGGTGTTGGTGTTGAAAAAGCCAGGGGAGGGATAATTCAGCAAGTGATCATCTTTTTTTTTAAGTCAGAATGAGGTCTAAGTATTAACTTCAGGGACAGCGGTGCTGTGGAAGTTGCTGTCAGTCAGATATTTGTAATGACTTTTCATCAGGTGTTGTAACTAAAGATCTAGTTATTCTTTCTCTCTTTGTTTTAGTTGTGTTTAAAATTTTGTTCTGATTGTAAGATGTTAACCTTACATCCTAAATGAGTTTAGAGTATTGCAGTGCAAGGTTACACAGCTGATGTGTCCTCTGCTGAAAGTGGCTGTAAATAACTTAATGATTACACAGTTCCCATAACATAGTGTTCCAGGCACTCAGGATTCTTTACTACAAAAACTGGTCATAATTACATCTCATCTGACTGTAATCAGTCTGATATAAGTGTTTTGTATTAGAAATTTTGATTTTGAGAACTATTCCTTTACTGTTTTTAAATCCAGTATTGTGTAGGTCCCAGCTGTAAAACTCAGAATGTCACTGTGCTTTTCTTTTTGCATTTGGATTAACTATATGTAAAGGATAGTTATCAGATATATCAAGAAAAGCACCTTTTGGACTGTAGAAAAATCAAGTGTTAGTTTAGATTTTCTTTTGCAAAACTCAGGTTAGATGTCTTGAAAGTAGCAAGATTATTTTATTTCCTCTTTAGAGGCCCACCTGAATGTAGGCAGCATTGACATGTGGCCCATGACCAACAAAGCAGCTGTGGCCAGAATGCTTAGAGTTGCTCATTTCCTTAATTTCTTTGTTGGTGGGGTTTTTTTTGGTGTCGTTTTTTTGTTTAGTTTTTTGGGGTGGGGGGTTGGTTTAGTTTGGTTGTTTTTTTTTTTAATTAGATTTTGCCCTATAGTTTAAAAGAGGAAAATTTAGAGCAATTGGGATACTCCTTGTATGGTACAGTAGGTCATTCTGTATTTTTATTGAAGTAGAAGCACTACTGGATTGTTCCTTAGTGTTCTTGGAGAATGATGTGGTATCCCATTTAGTAGGGAAAAAAGGTGTGAAAAGTTTGAAGAATGCAGAACAGTGAACTGGAGACTCAGGACTGGGTATTACGCAGTGGGAGTTGATGTAAATAAGTGACAGCTGTCTGACACTGGTAAACTCTGTGGAAAATGTCTGAGCTCATTTGCAAAACAACGTGTTACCTAGAGCAAATAGATTGTGTGTATTAGATACTTGCTAGTGTTCATTTGAGTCAGGACACCTTTGAAACAGTCTTACTACAGTGTTTTTGTTCAGTGATGGGAAGCCTTGCACTCTAGCCATAGCATTGCACTGATACTGCTTGCATTTTCCAGTTGTAAGGAGTTTGACTAAAACATGGTAAATCTAAGAAGGTGATCTTTTTCATACCTTTTAGGCACTACTACTGTTTTTGAGCTGTTTCATTGTGATGGGGACAAAATCTTTTAAACATACCTGTTGTGACTCTCAGTGCAGGGATGTGGAACCCTTAGCCTACAGGACAGATTCAATCCAGGACCCACACCATACTCATGCCATTTACATGCATCATTTTCCTGCTGCAGTTGCTGGTAGGATGTTAAGAATATAATGAAGCTGGTGATGCTGGTACCAGAAGGAGAGCACTGCTGTGCTTGAGCACAGATGAAATTGAGCAGTGGGAGTGATAGATTTTTCTTTCTGCTTGGGTGATTGAAAATAACGCAAGCATAAGAGAGAAAAGAATTCCTGCAGTTTTGTGAAAAATACTTGTCCTTGATAAAGATAAAATAATAAAATTCTAACATGGTTTTTTTCTTCTTGGTCCCTTATTAAAATGTAGCGTCAACTTATGAAGAGAATAAGCCAGTCTATTTTGTGCTGTCACACAGCTCAAGTAATAGCCAGCAGGGGAAAACTTTGAGTAGTCCCCTGTAGATGTAATGTAGCTAATCTTTTGGGCAGCCAATGTGATGTTTGAAAGGAACTGCAAGGATTGCCTTTTAACTCTACCGTGTATTCTCGTTTTGGTAAGACATCTTCATAGTTGTCCACTTTGACAAGACGTTCCACCAGTTAGTTCAGTATGATTTTTATTAAGTTATTAATGTTTGTCGATAAAATGCCACAGTGGCATTTCAGACGTGGCTGTGATGTGATTTTTAGTGCGTATATATACTTTGATAAGGAAACAGAAAAAGGATTCTTTCCGTTGTCAGTCTGCAGTGTGTCTGTCCCTTGAGCATTGCATTCCTTTTTGGTCACTGTTTCAAAAAGGGTACTGGAGATGGACATTTCAGGGAAGGGCCACAGACATGGTCAGTAGCTTCCATGCAAGGAATTGTGAAACAGTCTACAACTTCCTATCTCTGAAAAGGCAGCTAGAAGGAAGATGTGACAGTGGTTTGTGGAAATAATGGTCACGGGGAGAGAGGCAGAAACGGACCAGGATGGGATAAAGCTCAGCTGTCTTCTGCTGTTTCCTGGAACTGGGTAGAACGAGTGAGGCTAGTACAGGGCAGGTTCAAAACAGACAAGTGGAGGTGGTTCTTCCCACTGTGTAATTAGCTGGGGAGCTCTTTGCCACAGGATATTATGGATTCTGAAAGGTGACCTGGGTTCAGAGGCAGGCTGGACAAGTTCATGGAGAGGAGATCTGCTGCATTTTTTAAGTAGATAGAAGCCATCCTTGGTTCAGAAAGTTTCTCAGGAGCTAATGGTTGGAGGCTGGGATAATACCCGATAGAAGCATCGTGCTGTGCTTGCCCTGTTCTTACCTGTATCAAAGTTTGCTTTCATCTCGCAGCTTTTACTTTGCATAGATGTGAGCAAGGTCATTTGTAAGAGGGAGGGAAGTCATCTTCCTTGCAGAAATTGTAAGAGAACTGAGACTTTATGATGAAGAAATGGAAACTTCATAAAATAGATTGCTAACTCTTTACGTAAGTTGGAGCGCTGTGTTTACAATGTAATTGTTTGCTAATATCCTGCTGCCATTTTGGGTTTAGAAGGAATTCCTAGCTTGATACACTACTGCAGGTGATGACTGTTAAAATTAGGAAATGAGTACCAAGTTGAAACTGGAAAGGGAGAATTTCTTGGGTTTAGGCTCCAAGATTGTATTTGACATGCTAACAGACCTACCTGAATGCCTAACAATGCTCTTAACTATGTATAGGAATAGATGCCTTAATGTTTCTTTTGTTAGGCTTGGTTAAATGATACAGATGGTTTTGTGCACCACTGAGAAACTTGAAGCTGTAAATCAGAACTGACAATGTTAAAAACTTATTTCAAGACATAGCTTGCTTTTCATATTGCAAACTAAACACAGATCTTTTGAAGATCTGGCAAATGAGGAAGGGAAACTTGCAATTAGAAATAAAAAAACAACAACTCAGCAAGACTGGTGCACGGCACTGACTTGCTAGTCACTGTTAATGGCCTTTCAGTCATAAAACAGTGACAAATATGGTATTATGAATTCTTCTACAGACTAGTTGATCTTTTTAATGTATTTCAAATTTTAACTTGCATAATTTCTCTTACATCACATCTTATGAGTGATGCTGGGTTCCTGTGACTTAATTACAAAACATGGGATGACTTATGGTAGGCAATGCAGCATAAAGAATGATGGTGAAAACTGTACAGGATAATTCTATAAATGAGGGACCTCTTTACTTTCACTGGAGAGACATTGAGAGCTTCCAGCAGAAAAATAGCACTATGAAGAGTGCTGACTTAATAGAGGGATAAATGTTTACTGAGGCCTTGTGACAGCTCAGGCAACCCAAATTTAATTTTTTTTTTTTTTAAAGGTCAGAATGGCAAGTCTTCCATTTATGTTCTGGTGAGAGGCATTAGGACTGTGTTAAAATTTAAATTTGTGCTTTAATTACCAAGAAGTCATTTGAGGCTTCAAAAACGGAATACGGTTGACTGTTATGTGTATACAGTTGGAAGAAGCAATTGTTGCAAGAAGCAATTGTTGCAATACTACAAATACATGAATTTTTAGGTAGCATAATGTTTTTTAATTAAAAAAATAGTTATTTCAACTTCTGTGGACTATGGGACGTTAATCTGAGTGAGCTTTGCCTAGAGAAATGACCAACTGAGAGACAGTGTGGTAGAAATAATAATGGCCTCTATGAGGAAGCTATGTAGTTCAGTATTGTATGGCTTTTTTATCCATATGCTGAACTTCTAGAAGGTCACTGATATAATGGGGAAGCTCAGTAAGGTGTCATTTCATCAAATACCATGCTAAGCCCAAAACACTTAAATCATTTCAGTATGACTCTAAATTAAACCTAAACTCTTCAGTGCATTGAACTTGATTGAATTCTAATAAACAGGCTTCATTTTCTTCAGAAATTGAATGACTTGTTTTTAATCTTTTCCAGGTCAAAGATCGGGGTCCAGAAGCCACAAGAAGATTTTTTAATTGGTTTTATTGGAGCATTAATTTGGGAGCTATTCTCTCTCTGGGAGGCATTGCATACATTCAACAGAATGTGAGCTTTGTTATTGGATACAGTATCCCAACAGTTTGCATTGGGATTTCATTCATGGTTTTCTTATGTGGTCAGAGTTTCTTCATCACAAAACCGCCCGATGGTAGTGCCTTCACAGACATGTTTAAAATTCTCACATATTCTTGTTGCTCAAGAAAGAGACATGTGGAACGTTCAACTACTAGGTTTGTAATGAGCTCTTTTGTATAGTCTGAATTCAGTGAATCAGCCTAAGAGTTGGAACTAGTTAGTTCAAACTAGCTGGCAGTGACACTACAGAATACACTAGAATATGCAGTTTTGCTTTGAGAACTGGAACTGGAAAATCAGAGTCCCAGAGAAATTTTCTGGGAGTTCTGGGATGAAAGAGAGGCACATTTTGAGATCACCGGATCTCCATGCTGCAAGATCAAGTCTGCTGTTTTCAATTGAATGCTATGTCTTGCCAGTTCAGAGTTTCTGAAAGTGTAACGTAACCTAAGCATGCCGCTTTTAAGCGTTAGTTAACTTTCTTCTCTGCTTAGATATGTTTATGGGACACCTTCTGATTTGAAAAACACTATCAATCATCTGCATTTAATGTTGTAAGTAAGTGGCTTGATGGGCAGTCAAAATGTGTACTGGCTTTTTGCTTTCCAAATGGTTACTCCACTCTTAAGAGATGCCCATGGAATACTGGTGGCTGAATTTAGTCACTGATGATAAGAAATGTCAGGTGCCTCCTCTGCAACAGGCTTTCATGTATTCAGATTGCAAGACAATTAAATGAATTAGAATAACTTGTATTTTGTGATACTGTTTCTTAAGTTCTGCATATTGTAGTGCCAGTTGGTTATGTGTGATAGGGGGAGGATGGGAAATAAGGAAACCTTTTAAATGGAAGTTTTCAGCTTGTCCTTTTGCCTGCTGATGATCCATTCTGGCCTAGTTGTTTTGCTGTGTAACTTACACAAGTAACTTATTTTGGAAATGCATGAGCTTTTTATAATGAAGCGTCACAAGATTTCCAGTTATGTCAGTTTTTGTTGTTGTTTAACTAAATGTTTCAAATTCTTTTCAAAAGCGAAGGCCAGGGAGTACTTCAGCAACCTCGCAAGCAAAGCCTGTTTGAGATGGCCAAGCTGTCTCGTGGGGGCCCATTCAGAGAAGATAAGGTAGAAGATGTGAAGGCTCTCGTCAAGATTATCCCTGTCTTTTTGGCTTTAATACCTTACTGGACAGTATATTTTCAAGTGAGTAGTTCCAAATGGTTACATTTTTATTTTACGTGTCTAAAAAAAATAATTTCTAATTTAAGGGCCATAACTTCGTCTTCTCCCAGTTGCATTTGAAAGGTCTCGGGGCACTAGCATTAAGTTGCAGTTCTGAGCCTGTGTTATAAATCTAACTCCTGTCTGAAAATTACCCCCCAGAGCCGTTACCTGGAGGTAGCACACAGAAGCTTGGGGGGGGGGGGGGGGAGCGGATCTGTAAGTATTTCATCAGGTGGGGCTATG